GTACAATATTTTCATCACAATTTGTTTTGAACTCTTTATATATAGATTGCTTTCACTATTGTATGAAATTATATATATTAGTGTATCCATGAACATGTAGTCAATTGTTGTTTATTTATATTTATGCTTGATTTTTGATTATCATAAATTATGCATAATTATACATTCAAATACTCAATTTATATCTATTTTTTAGTTTTGATACATGTTCTAAAGGGAATTGATTAGGGGTTAGTATTAAAATATAGGGTTAAACATTTAGTTAATTTGGATCGTGAACCCGCCCTATTTGTGATCATTGTATCCAAATCTTGGGTTGTTAGCGGTTTAGCGATTCTGGTAACTATGATCTGTATTCACTGTAGAGGGGACTCCCAATAATTGTATTCGTTGCCATGCCTTCGATTTTACAGGTTCGTGTTACGGATTCATCCAATTTAATCTTCCGTTTGTACAATTTCAAAAAAGGACGTGATTTTGGGGGTCAATATTTGCATAAATTTGGTGAATTTGGATGGGGGTGTCATGCTTTTCTTCTCTCTCTGCATCTTGCTTTGGCTTTTTCCTTTTTGAGTTTTTTGGATGATTCCACCATGTGTTGGTTCGATTTGTAACTGAAACAAATCGTTCGAATCTAGCGATATAACTTTGTTTTTTGTCGAGTTGTACGATTCGTAACCGATTCAAGGCCAAGTTGTCGGTGATTTGTAATATTTGCATAATGGGTAACCCTATCGTATCGGATAGGGCCGAACTCGGTTGAGTTGTAACGGAATCAGCAGATACTTTAAACCCCGACTAACATAGACTAGGTGTAGGACTCTAAACTCTAGAACTTGACCCAAGACTATGGTTTGACTACTATAACCTATTCCAGCAATCCTTAAAATTACGAAAATATCCTTGGCTCTAAAAAATATTAAAAAGAGACATGATTTTTTTTTTTTTGGGAGGGGAGGGGAGGAGAGGAGAGGGGGACTTGAACCCTTAACTTCAAAAAGACAAAACTTTCATAAGGTAAGGAGTACCATTAGACCAAATGTCTGTTGGTGACATGAAATATTAATGGCAGCTAAGTTACTCAAACTAACTCAAAATAAAGATTCAAATATAATAATACAAGGTTTCAAATGGATCTTTGTTTTGATGCCAGACCAATTCCATTGTTTTTTATATCTTTGAATTTGTGTTTGTTTAAGCATCTTATAGATTGCATCAGTATCTCATTTGACATATATGTGTGTACATATGTGTGTTTGAAATGCAGCTTGTCTTATACTGTGACGTTGTATTGGCAGGAAAGATTAACATGCAAGAATCAAAAGATCAGCGAAAACTTTTATGTCCGAGGTGATGGCACGGTAAGCTTTAGTCATACAAATATGTGTTGTTCTCCTCTCTTTTTTATTTCTTAAAGCACTTATATTTATGACTAGCTTTTTACCGTATCACATTTATGCTTTTCAGCGTGCTTTCTACTTTTCTAATGAGTTCTTGAGAAGTTTGTTTAAAGAAAATGGATTTGATATGGAAGAATATGGGTTGTGCTGCAAACAAGTGGAAAATCGATCACGGGAAATAGTAATGAATCGGTAAGATTATCATATATTTGGTTTCATAGTAATTTCTATTTTGTGCTGTGTTATACCATATGGGTTATGACCATAGTTGGGTCATTTTAATTAACATGTGTATCTTCAAGTATATATTGCAAAACATATCATGTTTTGGTCTCTTGTGGAGTTTATGACAGGACTTATATAAATTCAAACAGCTTTCACAACTCCCCAAATTGACACGGACTATGGTTTGAACAAATGGATAGCTTGACAGTTGTTCAATATTTGAATTAATATCTACAATTAGGCCTATCAATGGATCAGATTTTGATCCAAATCCGATTAGCCAGATTTGGATTGTGATATTTTTTACCGATAATCCGTACCCAAATTCAAATCTGCTGTATTATAGTTAACGGATTTGGATAAAAATATGTCCAATCTGAAATATTTATATATTTATACTAAAAAATTAAGTAATTATTTGAAGAAATTTAGGTGTAATTTATTAAAACCTAGTTAAAGTATGTTATTCGGATCAAACTGTATTGTATTTTTGGATTTCTAACGGATTTGGATATGAGCCACGAAAATAAAATTCATCGGATGAACGGATTAGATTTGTGTTGGCATTTTAAAATTGGGTTTGGATTCGGGTAAGTCAAAATCCAATTTAAACCTGATCCGTTGACAGACCTATTGCAACTAGTAAAAGCATAAAACATTACACTCAATGAATTATAACCTTTCACTAATTTTCACGGCCTTAATTTGTTGCATTGCAAAACCCAGAGATGTGCTCTAGTGTGTATATTACCTACACAAGGCAGGTGGCTATTCCTTTGTGTAAGTAGTCATGATTGCATGATGAAAGCACATGATTTTCTTAGTAAACTTTGATGATCTACTCATATTTACTTCTACTTCTAGCATATTTTTGTGGTAGATTCTCTTACCTTCAATGATTAAAAAGGAGATACTAGCTTCCCAAGGGCCGAGGAACCAGCAGTAGGACTGAGATACATACATTACAGATTTGGCTTGGTTCTAGTCAGTAGACGTATGTGTGTTATGTACACGGTGATTGTGATTTAGATGGATTATCTTATTTTGGCATTATACATGAGGCTGCCATAGGTTGATGTGAAGTTAACTGGTGCCTGACAACATTTGACTAAATAGTTGAAAAGCTGCCTGAATCGTTTCTGTTTGAATCAGATGGTTCTACTTTTTTTTCCCCATATGATTTTTTTTTTTTTTTTTTTTGGGGGGGGGGGGGAGGGGAACTGTTCTTGCATAATGTTGTGTCCCATATTTAGTACAATGCTGAATTTTATAAATGTACATACCTCTTGGATGCAATGGAGGGATATTCAATTGATGCTGTTGAAAATTATAGCTTGGTCTATTGAGGAAATTGTGCTAATGTATACAAATCCATTAATGAAAGTAGCTTTTTTTTTTTCTTTTTAATCTGCGTGCACGTTTTCCCTGGGGCAATTGAAATTATAGTGGATATTGCAGGCGTTGGGTCCAAGCTGTATTTCACTTAGATGGTGCTAGCTGCCTATCTAGCACAAAGACTGAAATCAAGGTAGAGCACGATAAGGCTCGTACCAATCCTGAGATCTTGGAGAACACTTCAGCTGATCATGCAAGTGGGCTAGACCTTGACATATCTGAGGGACTGGCTGCTGAGATGTTTGGTATTTCAGTTTCCAATGACGAGGTATTATTTAATCCTGCTTTATCTTTCCCTTTAAAGTCAAGAAACAAGATGAAATATTAAATGCATCTCTGGTGTTACCTTTAGTGTTTGGGTTTATCGTTCATTCTAGTTGATGTTTGATGGTGTCATATATAGGTTATTTGTTGTGCTTGTTTCACGTGGACTGATTTCTAAATAATGGAGAAGAATTGTATTTGGCAAAACACATGCCTTTGTCTGCAGTTTTGTTCTCTTAGTTATTTTAGCTGTATTCTTTCTTAGATTATTGAGGTCATGGTACAAGATTGGAGCTTCCAGATAACAGTACTTCCAAAAGAGTACCAACATACCTGTAAATCAACTGGGTTAATGCTTTGGGAATCAGCCCGGCTGATGGCTTCTGTTCTTGCGGCAAATCAAAATATTGTTGCAGGAAAAAAGGTGTTAGAGCTGGGATGCGGCTGTGGGGGAATCTGCACTATGGTTGCTACTAAATCTGCTGACATTGTGGTTGCCACCGATGGAGATGTAAAAGCCCTCGACTTGTTGACCCGCAATGTTGCTGCAAATCTCAAATCACCCTCTCTTGCCAAACTCATTACGAAAAGACTAGACTGGGGAAATAGAGATCATATAGAATCCGTAAAAGGATTGAATGATGAAGGTTTCGAGATCATTATTGGCACGGATGTAACTTATGTTCCTGAAGCGATCATGCCCTTGTTTGCAACTGCAAAAGAGCTAATTTCATCAAACCGAGGCATTGAAGAGAACTCAGAGCCAGCTTTGATTCTTTGCCATGTCTTGCGCAGAGTTGATGAGCCATCTCTACTTGCAGCTGCATCTCAATTCGGTTTTAGGCTGGTTGATAGATGGCCCACTGATGCAGCAACAGCTTCTCAAAGCATCATTAGCACCTGGTTCTCAGATAACAGTGTTAAAGAGTGCGTTCCGAGTACAGCATTGAGTATCATGTACTTCTACACCGTATAGTTGGCCTTGTCAATCTTATCATGTCATCCCCCACAAAGTCTTTGCCAGTTGCAGAAGAGACCAATTTTCTATCATGATTTTGTGGATGTGTGGATTTTTTATTATTGCTTGCGGAAGCAGGGCAAAAAAGTGGGATGACTGAAGTTACTATGAAGTAAAGGTGAGGTTATAATTTAGGGTGTGTTTGATAATGTTTTTTAAAAAAAAAAATAAATTTTTGTTTTTTGTAATAAAAATTAAAAATATAAAACGTGTTTGGTAGTCATTTATATTTAAAAAATTATACAAACAAAAACAAAAAAAATGTTTGACATGATATATTTTGGATAATATTTTATTGGTGTTATTTTGGTTAATTTTTAAACACATTCGTCTTCGGCTTTGCAAAATCTCAATTGAATTCATTACACAATTTGTCTTTTGTCTTGTTTCAACTATCTGATCCACATAAACACCTCGTTCTGCTACCTTTTACCGTTTCTATTCAATTTTCATTTCCTTCAATAGTTTCTTCACTACCACTGCCATATATGCTAAATATACATTTATTTAGATCTATCAAATAACAAGAAAATTTTGATTATATATTTATGAATGTATGAAGACACACACACACACACACACAAACGAAAACACAATTCTCTATTAACAAGAAAATTTTGATTGATAGATCTATAATTATACACACACACGAAAACACAATTCTCTATTAACAAGAAAAATTTGATTGATAGATCTATAAATGTTTCGCACAATAAAAATTTGATTGATAGATCTATAAATACACACACACACACACACACAGTGAAGATGAAAATTCAATGTTACACACACACACACACACACGAAAACACACACCTATCGAACAAACACATTCACACCCAAATCTATCAAAATCTAACAATATATTAATAGATCTAGGGCTAAATATACATATATATACAGATTTATGTATATACGACGTATATAATAAATCCAAATTTAAAAATTTGATTCCATAGGGAGGAGTTACAAAGAGAAAGAGTGAAATTTGACCTTAAAAGAGATATTGATGAAGATGGAGTGTTGACTTGTGAGATTTGAGAGCTCCTTCGTCGTTGGCTTCGTGAGGAAGAATGAGAGCGATGAATGAGAGAGAGAGAGAGAAAAGAGGTAAAAATGGATAAATAATGTTTTTATAGTTAGAATAAAAAAATCTTTTTTTTTCCTACTAAAGGGGTTTGAAGGGTAGACCTCATTAATTGGTTTCAAAGGATGTGCGTGTTTGCATTTTTGCGTGTTTTTAAAAACACCTATTTTCATGTTTATCAAATTTGGAATTGTTTACAAAACAGACCAATCCAAAAAAAAAATAAATAAAAACACTTTTCAAATATGTTATCATTTTTTTTTTGGAAAAAAGTGAAAAAAAAACCAAAAAAAAATAAAAATATAAACACACCGTTACCAACCGGGTACCTTAATCTAGTGAGGTTATTCCAAAAGGTGGTTATTTGAAATTGACTTTAAAATTTTAAGATCAAATTAGCTTTTATTTTTTGTGGCAATTTGATCCTATTTAGATTTAATTTGATTCAAAAAGATTGTAATTAACTTTCGAAGTAGGAAGAAAAACTGAAGGGAAAGTTTTATTGACACCCCTTGTATATTTTAAAATATCACTGACACCCGGCCAATTTTTTTCCCCGAAATATCTACCCTGTTAGTTTTTGTCAGGTAATAGATATGACGGAAAATGATGTTTAACATTATTGCCCCTAACAGAACCTTATTCTTCTTGTTTATCCTGATTGCTTACAATTAAATCTAACTCTAATTACATTAAATATTATTTTTACTCATGTTAATATCATTTAACCGTCTTTTAAACAACTACAATTTCAGATATCTATACTATATGCTAGGATAAACAAATTACAAGGGAGAAGGCTTAGGAGGCCTTCCCTCTCTATCTTCTTTTTTTTTTTTTTTTATAGAATTTTCAAAATTTGAAATATAACACATGATTTTATCCACTGACATTTTGCCACATGTCCTATGTAACCACTTTCCACTCTCACTAATTAACTACCCACTCATTTAAAGTTGGGCTTTTGGGCCGTAACTCCATGGGACTAGACTTCAATGTCATTAAGTCCAAGCTAAAAACTTTTAAGGCCTAAAGGACACATAGCTAATTGGATAAAAATACATTTCAAAATGTTTGTTATTGTGTAGTTGCGCATTTTCAGTTCATTTAAAATCGAACGACTTGCCATCATCGTTACACAAGAACCAACACGCACTCTCATTGAAAAATTTTCAAACTAAAAAATGATGATTGCGAATGAAAAACCATCAACAGTCATCGATTCTAGGGTTCTAGTGATTCTTCAGTAGCCAAATTCGTCTGGGCAACATAAATCTATTGAAAAAACCCTTCTTCAACATCTCATGTCAAAATTATAAGAGACTAGGTTTCAAATACTCCACAAAGAATTTTTTACGATTCAGGTAAGTAATTTTGCTTTATTGAATTTAAATATTAGCGAAAAGAAAAAATTTCATTTATTCTTGTTAATTATATATATTTTAAGCTATTTCAGTATGTAACATGTGAATCAAAATAATAATTTTGAAAATATAACCAAAAATCGTATAATAAAATGATGAATAGTGTATTATTCTATTGTTACACACAAACATAGAATTAAAATCCATAAAAAAAAGCAAAAAATGAGCAAAACATAAAACAGTAAAAAATAGTAATTTCCATAATTTAATGTTGATTTTAGATTTACTTGTTCTTCTATTCAATTTATTGTTAATCTGGATATTTTGATTATTTTCGTATGATGCAAAAACTACAGTAACAAAATAATTCAAAAGTGTGTATTATTGTTGAATGCATTTAAACAGTAAAATCTATCTTACATGCAATATTTGACTGTTTCATGATGTATTGGACAATGTGTTCAATTGACACAAATTTAGTTATTGTTGTAGTTGACTGTATTGTTAATAAACATATTTTGCAATATTTTGACTATTTTATAATAGACACGAGAAATATTTGATTGCTTAATAATTAACATGACAATGTGTTCAATTATAACTTAATTAATTTTGTTTCATTATATTATTATAATGCTCTATTTTTACACAGTTAAAAATAGTAAAATGCCGAAAAAATAAGCTTGCCTGACAAACTTGTATGAGATCAGAAAATCAAACGCAAAAAAAAAAAAAGCAACGAAGGAACATTAAAAGAGAAGAATTCAAAAGCCAAGCTCAAAAGAGAAAATGCAAGCTACTTTGAATACAAATGGACAAAGAAGAGAGGTTATCATTCGCATTAGTCTAATCTACGATGAAAGCTATGTCAAAAGGAAAGAAGGAAATAGATTATGAAGATTTCGCAAGGGTGCTATGTCTTTGCGCTTTTGTTACTCTGCTATTTCCAACAACTGGACAACCTATTGGTTTGGGGGTATGTGCTATTGGTAGATGATCTAGACAACATGAAAAGTTATGCATGGTTCAAAGCAATTACAGATCTGTTTATGTCTTCTGTTGCACAAAAAATTTACCAACTAGATTCAGTTAAAGGATGTGTTGTTGAATTGCTAGTAAGTGCCATATATATCACCATGAATATTATATTTACTTCATTGTTTTAGGAAATTAATTGACATGCACTTGGTCTCTAACTCTTTGTTTTGCAGTATTGGTTGTGTGAACATACAAACATTATTCAGATAGAATACAAGAATGTATTCCAAAGATTCGTGAAATGGAACCTCCCATAACTGGCCAAGGTTCTAAATATGGAAAAACTGAATCAACCGACTCTTGACGTGGTAAAAAATTGAGTGAAATACAAACAACAAGGATTGATTGTTATATATAAATATAAATTCTCGTAAGAACTTTATTTCAATAATTTTTCATTGGAAAATTTTACAGGTTGTAGACTAAGAATTGGAAAAAACAGCGATTGAAATGGAGTTTTTCTTGACAAATGTATTGAATATGGAGGGGCAAACATCAGAACGTGCAAAAAATCAGAAAAAGAGTATGGTGACAATTGAGTAACTTGCTATTGACATAGGGGTTAATTGAGTAATCAGTATTGCAAAAATATAGCACCCAAACACATCTGCACATGTCCAAATCCTTGAACTAAAGAGTGACTTTTATTTCCATTTAAAGAATATTATATTTTATTTATAAAATTTCCTCACCATCTGAACTCCTAAATTCATGATATCTATTCACCTTCATCTCTATTGATCTTAATTTCGCACACCAATGCTAGTCCTTGTGAATTCGACTCCGAACTTAACCAGATTATTATTACAACTTGACTGCCTACACTTGGGTGTACATATTTCGAATGCACTTAAAAGGAAAATCATGAAATTTTCAGTTAAAGATGGAGAAAAATTTTACCAATGTTGGGAGAGATTTAAATATCTTCTCTAAGCTTGGTCACACCATGCATTTGAGAGTTGGACTATGGCAGGAATTTTCTATGATTCTCTCCCTACTCGATTACGTCAGTTTTTTTGAGATGATGGCTCAAGGGGAGTTCATGGAAAAAAATCTAGAGGATGCGTTTGAATTTTTTGATACCATATTTGAGAGTTCCCAAATGTGGGATTCGACCTCTTCTACCATTACCGAAACCAGACCCTCCACTTCCTAAAGGGGGAAGTACATTTTAAAAGAGGATGACAACCTTAGGGCCAACATGACCACCTTATCTTGAAGCTTTAGATATGAGGCAGGTAAATCAAGTTGCTGTTGGACCTCCCACTAAACAAGTGTGTTGGATTTGTGTTTTGTCAGGACACCCTATTGAATAGTGTCATACTATACTTGCATTCAAGGAGGTTTTGTTGGAACAAACCAATTCAATCTCCAATTTTAACAAGCCTTATTCCAACCCTTATTCTAAGACTTACAATCCAAGGTGGTGGAACCACTCAAATTTCAGTTGGAGGAACACACAACCTCTCGTCAATCAACAATAAGGCTCACCATCCCACTTCAAGGCCCTCTTGCATATCTGTTATACCAACCACCACACAAGATGAGTCTTGAGGACACTCTTAACCAATTCATGCCGAGTTAAATGAGTTTCAACACTCAGTCGACTCAGTCTTTTAATGATTTCAAAGCACATGATTCACAACCGATTGATGACATTAAGAGCCACATAGCTAAATTGACTCAGTCTTTGAGGTAGTAGAGAAGGAAAAATTCCCCTCTCAACCT